ATAGTTAAAGATCTTAAGTACATCAAAGAACATTCAAACAAAGATTGCAGCGTTATTAAAGAAAGGACAGGTATTAATCCATATATAAATATCGAAAATGTAACAAATGCAAGCAAAAGTTAAAATGTTTCACAGTTAAATTTGTCAAAACATTTTATTTCAGCAACCTTCATATCAGCCTATCCTTACACGAAATTAGTTAAATACTTAAGTTTGTAATTAATATCTCTTTTAAAAACTGAGGTAAATTAATGATTTGCATAGATGATACTAAATGCTTTTTTTTGATAATACTCATCATCAACATAATTACAGTTTTACATGAATGACTTTATACAAGTCTTAAATATTTTACTTAACAACACATTCGTATGATTATACATCTCTAAACGAACACAAAGCATGCCAAGGGGTGGTAACTTTAGTTCACAAGGAGAGGATATATTTCTTTTTGAACTTCAACATCAATAAATCACAAAACGTCTCAATAAAGGCTATCATAAAGCTTTACAAATTAAAAGAATAGTTCACAAGTAGAGGATGTATTTCTTTTTGAACTTCAACATCAATAAATCACAAAACGTCTCAATAAAGGCTATCATAAAGCTTTACAAATTAAAAGAATATGTTAATACATCGACGACACAGCTGTACCAAACCTATCAAATTTTCTTGACATTTCTAATGAAGCATACTAACCCAACAAATCTAGTGCATGAAAAACGTTCAACCAATACAAATGTAGCAAACTACTTCAGTTTAAACATTGGCATTATCAATCAAACATTTGACCTCAAGGCTTAGAATAAAAGAGAGAATTTAATTTTAAAGCTATAATTTTCCCATTTCCAGACGCAAGCAATCCAAAGAAAATATGCTATAATGCTTATCTATCACAACTCATTAAATCTGCTAGAATTTGTTGTAATTTGGAAGATTTTAACGAGTGAGCTAGAACACTAACACATAAAATTTTCCTTTTAAAAAACTACACACGCCAGTTTTAAAATGTTGTGTTAAAAAATATTTATTTTTTAACTAATATATATAACACTGACAATTTCGTCACTGTTCAGACAATCTCCAATAACGATATTATGAAAACTGATTTTATAATATAATATATTATCTATGAATTATGCATAGTTTTCTTTATCCCTTCTTTACATAATACAATACAAACCTAAACATTCTACCTTTAAGAGCTATTTTATTCAATTCTGATATAAGTTATGCCGAATCAATTTTTTTCCACAGTGTGATCGTTGACTCAGTGTAAATCGTATAATTAACATGTTCAATACAAAATAAAAATAACTTTCTTTATGCTAGACGTACGTACTCCAACACAGTCCTAAGCATTTAACCTTTCACACTTATCATTTTAGTCAACTCCGCCAAGGTTTTGCTGGGTCAATTATTCATCACAGTGTTGTCGTTGACTCAGTATCGGTCACATAATTAGCACAGTCTCTTTAGGATATAAGGAACTTTCTTTATCCTGTCCTTATAAAGTAAAACAAAAGTCTAAGCATGCGTCACATGTTAGAAATTTAAAACTGTATCTGCTGTATATAACTTTCCTCAAATGTTTTGCTAACTATTCTTAAATTATCTTTTCTCTTTTAAGAACTGGTCACCTGTAGTTTATTCTGTTTAAAACCCTCCTCCCCTTCCTTTCAAGCCTGGCCATTTGGCAGACCTTCTTTAGCCAATGGTGAAAAAATTATCATAAATGATTACTAAAAAAACCTAAGGGCCCTTTTACTTCTGAATGAGAATAAAAGTCAATTATTCGAAAGTACCCCCTTTTCTAGATCTTTCAAAATTTACTTTCTTTAGCAAGATCACCCTCAAAAGTTATGGTGGATTGTGTGGACATCTAGCTGGAAGTTAGTAAGTAAGACGAAAGTTCGAGTGTAATTCTGTAATTTATAGTAATTTGCAGTTTTAAATATAAATAATTCAATATTTATTTTAGCTATTCAGAGCGATAGCTATATTTAATATATAACATCGAGTATCTTAAATAGTAACTACTACATTAGCTAAATGTGATAGTCATGATACAAGAAGCTGAGCATATGACAATTCTGTTTCAGTGTTTAGTAGTTTTGCTAAGCGGGTTCAACCTCGTCAAGGGTTCTTGGGTTAACGGCCAAAAAAACTACAAAAGTTTTTTGTAGTTTGCCTGTTAGGCATAATGTAGACTATTTATTATATTATTAATTGTGATTTTTATTGTACAATTCTTAGCAGCTCTTCTGGTAGATGTTATTACACATTTAGTATTTCGAATGGCAATGATACTAAAATAGATAAACAACAGAAATATGATCCAAAACTTTGGAAGACTGTAAAGACACAAATGTAATTATGAGGTTTTATTTAACATAACATGATACAATCTTGTCAAATTTACTTTTCATTTTGCTGCAAGGTGAAATAGATCTTAACAAGCTTCATGTACATAATACTTAACATTTAATGACAAAAGTTTCAAAAAACGGAACGTATTTATATATATGTATCACATTTTCATATCACCGAAAAGTTGAATCACTTTTACATGCGCGATTACAAAGTATAGGATCTTTGTAGTTAAGTAAATGAATTCTATACACTAGAACAATGCTTCATATTTCTTTTTGTTATTCAACTAGGTGTTCTATTTTGAATGATGCAATTAACAAATTAAATCGAATAATTCCAACAAGGATTGCAAAGATATTCTTTGATCTTTCTCCTAGTGGATAAATGTAAAAAATAAATGATTAAACAGAGTTATATTAATCCATAAGTGTGCTTTTGAGAGGATTTATATATATATATATATATATGTGTTCTTGTTTGTTTCATTTGTCTCTTGGCAAATCATTGTCAGGTTTCAATGATATTCTTTCATTACTTCAAGTCTGTTCACATAGGATTAAGTTCCAGACACAAGAAGTTCACGTGTAATCCAAGCATATAAGCAAAATTTTATTGGTCCAACAATGTCTTAATTTTAAAAGTAACCAAACTCTCCAGAACCCTCAGTTGCAGCTCATTATAATCTCCGTTAACTATGACGTAAGTTTCATTTTCAATAGCAACATGTAGTGCTGTCAGGATATATTGAGTAAAATTAGAAGAGTTCTCAAGTTTTACTGGAATATGTTATTTTATACGAGCAGACAACCACCTAACTAGTAGTGGATCCCACATATCCATTCCGACAACGAGAACAATGTAAATTCGCATATAACAAATCATCATTTTACTTCGACTCTCATCCTTAAAATGAAATAGATGTAGTATTCTAAAAGAGTGATTTTAATACAGTAAATAATCAAAATTCTCATAATCTAACTCGTTTATGAATTATCATATAAAGTCATGGTGCGAAACTATTGTGTTATGGCTTCAAACCTTTTTATTACAGATGCTATGTCGATGACACATTGGTTATTTTTAGTTAAGCATGAACATTGTGTGAAGCTACTTTTTCTGGATATTTCAGGGCATATTCCACAATATAATTTTTAAGTGAATCTTCACAAATATTACAAATCGGAGGTTTCCGAGTTATATGCTCATACTATTAATTACACTCCAACAGTATTTAAATAACAATTTAAGAAAGGTTTACTTAATCGTATTTAAGGATTATAAGTAATTAAATTAGAATAAATCGAATTTAGAAGTTCTGGAACTTAACGAAGTTAACAATAAATTCAACTGCACTAACATCATTGAAATGTTCAATAAGTGATCATCCCTAAAAATTTAGTTTGATGTTCTTGAGATGTTTTGTCCGATATTAATTCACATTGTTTGTGAACTTGCTTGTTTGTCCGTGAATTCATGGGGCTAGAAAGACCAAACTTGGTAGGCGGGCTTGGGGTGAGATGGGAGTGTCCTTATATATGTGGCGTTGTTACCTTACCAATAGGGAATACAACGCGCCTGAAAGGCTACGAAAACATGATGGAGGTCTATGAGTATGCCTTCACAGATCTTGAGTTCTCGGTCATCACTCTGTTTGAAATCATGTTCATATCCTCACTCACAAACTCGTGTGGTCAAACTCACCAGAGGCGGTTGCTCTAATAGTTATTTATTTTTTAATATATTTTTTCGGGTACGGATTCACTTGTGGTACCTATAGATGGAAACGAGGTTAACGGAGGCACTTGATCGGTACATTAGGCCATTTGTGTATCATGAGGGTGGAGGGGGAGGGGGGCTTTGAATTCTGCAATAGAACTTAGGTATTTTATATTATTGGTACTAACGTATGCATGACAACAACCTGTTAAGAAGTCAGCATTTTAAACAGGGCCACAAATTCTAACTAAATGTGCAAATTAAACCATTTTTTAGAGTGAGAAATTTATTTCTTTGAAAACAAATTTGAATATCATAACAAAACGTAAGGTGTGAGATACAGTAACAGGTGATTGCCTACTCATACAAAAAACACACTCCAGGAAAAACCTATGAATCTTACATTAGTCAAGGAAGGTATGAGAATTCTCAAGGATTTTCTATATTCTGTGGTACAACAAAAATGTTTCATATAAATAATCTGCACCTATGTTTTTTAAATATTTGAAAGAGTTCTATTCGTTTGTTTGATACTAAAGCCATAATTTTGAGCAGAAATACAAATTATTATTTCCAAAATTGTCCTCAATATCTTCTAGTGTTTTGACATTTGTAATAAATCTCGTTTGCTTTGAGTAACGGTGTTATTTGTTTTCCTGAAAAACAAACAAACAAAAATTAAATAAATTTTGTATTTACTAAATCGCAAACTCAGCCTTTTTTGCTTGTAGAAAAACTACACTTTCTTCATTTGTTTTCAATTAATTTAACCTTTAACAAAACAGTAATAGAAAATTTTCAAAGTCTCTCAATAAAAACAAAAAAAGAATAATCAAGAATTGAGGCCTAATAAATTACAATAAAGACACAAACCGTAATATTATAAACATAAAAAATAACAATTACAAACTGTTTTAATAATAACACTACACCATTAAGATACAGTTAAAGATAGAGATAGGCCTAAAACAAAAATTGAACTGAGCAAATGCTTTCACAATTAAGCCAATTTATGCGAAGATAAAGGCTATTTGTACATGCAAATGTTGTCCAGGGGCTAGTAAAACTTTGTATACACTTGGCATGTTTGTTTTAGAATTTTTACACAAAGCTATACAAAGGGATACTTGCGCATAGCCTTACTTAATTTTGAAGTGGGCTAGTTTAGTATGACCGAATGGTGTAATTTTACTGTCACTTCTATTACACACCCACGGCCCCAAAGTGACGAGCGCATTTTTGCAGCAACAGAACATGAAATTTGAATTGTCGTAATCACAGTTCAGGCACGCTAAACACTAGCCCACTCTCGGTCCTTGGTTACATAGGCTAAGCTATTTCATATCTGCACAGTGAATGCAAACACGAAGATCCCTCAGAATCCCAAGTAAGTAAGATTGTAAGAGTACGTATTTCATAGGTTTCTGTCACGGAAATTATGGAAAATGTTAGTGTAGCTCGTGGTAAAGTTTTGGATGTGGTGGCCATATGAAAATCACCTAGGAAAGCAACAGCGAAATGCAACAGTGGGCGACCGAAAGCCCTAAACGACAGAAACCACAGAGTTCTGGCACATTGAGCGAAGAAGACACGAAGTATTATATATCAGAGAAATTGAACAAACTACGGTCACACAGTATAGCGTATTCATAAATCACTCCAAACGGAAAAATACAAGTGTTGTTATCCTTGCAACTGGAGCTTAGACAATGAATTCAGGTAATATTTTCTGGCAACCCATATTTCTTACTCGGTTTGCGTGAGGTCGCATTTATGTATCCTCCTGAACAGTAGAATTCAAAATACATCGTACCAGTAATGAAAGGAGGAGATGGTTCTGTAATGGCGCAAACTACTTTCTGTTCGCTCGGATTTTAGCCCCTTAATAGCAAACTGACTACCACGGGCTATGCATCTTATACCCCCAGATGTTGCTCGTGATGCATTATGGCACCGCAATAAATGGCGTCTTCCAAGATGATAGTGTTCCAATCCGGAGCGTCAGAATCTCGAGGATGTTTCTCAGAGTACAATGGTGAGTTTACTTCTACAGTCATCTGACCTGAATCCAATTTAAACATTGTAAGGTCTCTTGGCAAGCCAGAACCAAAGTCAATTTCCCTCTTCACAGACATTCACCAACTATAAAAGTTAATCATACCTTATTGAAATCATATCGATTCTTCTATGCTTGGTGCGGAAGAACGTCCGACACCTCTCTAATACACGATAAGCAGTGCTCAAAATTCGTTGTCCATCTCTAGTGTTTGATAACATTAAGTAAACATTTTCAGAATTTGTAAATACGATTTATCATACAAGAAAATATCCATGTAAAAGAATGAGATCTGCTAGATACAAAATATTAAAGTTTTAGGAAGTGATAAAATGTTGATTTTGTAATTCATGTTTGCAAAAAAACATTGGCGGTATTGTTATTGACATATTCACTGCGAAAAAGAAAAAAATTAATTTAGAAATATATTACAGAGCAGGAAACAGATGGCGATACAAGGTTGTTTAAAGTTAAGCACAAAGCTGCACAATGGGCTATCTGGCTCTGCCCACCACGGGTAGCGAAACCCGATTTCTAGCGTTGTAAGTCCTTAGACATACCGCTGTGCCACTAGGGGGCAGATGATACAAGAAGATGGAGGAAGTATTTACTCGAAACTTTGTGTACCGTGAAACATTTACAACTTGAAAATAGACATTCGCTTTTAGATACATGCAAAATAGAATTAATTTGTGCTTAAACTCTAGTGATAATTTTTTAAATATTTATACGAAAACCCAAAAGTAATAGAAAACGTGTAATGTAATTTTAGACAAGATTTTGTAAAACGGATAAATCTATAAGAAAATATGAAACATAATTGACAAATACATATTTAATACATTATTATTTAATTTATTTGAAGTACTTCAATAACGTCACCTAAAAATATCATTGTTATTTGTGCATGTTTGTTTAATTAGCGTGTTGTATATCGTTGTTAAATTCAAAATCTATGACTAATTGTTAAGGTTTCCGAAAATATTTACATTTTAGAAGTAAAAGTTTATATTGTTTGAGTTTTTATAGAATATGCTTAGAAAGTGTGTAGTATTCAAATACAGTTTTTGACTACGTACACCTATATTCACTGCAAGATTCAACTGCTCTTGTTTATATTTGTAACCTTCTTTACGTCTAGTATATCATTCTATAATGATAGATGTAATTTGACCTCTTATGTTTTGCGTTTAAGCTCAAACTTAACAGGTAATTGAGCAACGTCACCAGATACCTTGTGAAGAAATGTTAAACCGTGTTTGTTTACATGATAAAGAAATATATTATGTTATCATGGTTTCAGAGTAAAGATATTGTGACAGTTCTACATTTTACTACATTACTTAATTACTAGTTATGGATTCGAGATTATGCCATTTCGAAATTTGGTTTCGAGGGTTTGTCAGCATTTCTTGCCAATGAAGAAGTTGCTCTCCTCGAGCGTACAAAAATGACCCAACCACAACTTTACCGTAGGGTTCATCTCTGATTAATGGGGAGGGGCCTGCCAAGTAAACGGTAATGCCAAAACTACAGGCATCAAAAAACCGATCAGAAACGACGAAGTTGAACTGTTCATTAACGATTATCTCGCTGTCATTACTGTTTGTATGATAAAGATATGTCCGTTTGGTCTTCATCATCTTTCGTCCATGGAACAGCTGGATTTTCACAAAAACCCCTACAAAAACAAATAAAAGTTTCACTTTTGGTATCGAAATATCTGTTTTTATTTAAATACTTTGTTTACGTTTTTTTTTTTATTCTCAGAAAGTTTCTTTGTTTATAATTTTTGCGCAAAAATACATAAGGACTATCTGCGAGTCAGACGTGGTCTAGTGGTTAAAATTCCTGGTTCGTGTTACGATGCTTCAAAACTGCTCTCCACAATTTATGGCAAAGGTTTACCTTTGTGTGAAAATCATGAAACAAACAGTTTTAGAGAAAAGCAGCTAGTTAACAGCACCAACCGCTAACTCTTGAGCAATTATTGTTTGACCGAATAGTGAGATTTGACTGCCTTACAACGGGCCCGGCATTGCCAGGTGTTTAGGGCACTCGACTCGCAACCTGAGGGTCGCGGCTTCCAATTCCCGTCCCACCAAACATGCTCGCCCTTTCAGCCGTGGGGGCGTTATAATGTGGCATTCAATCCCACTATTCATTGGTAAAAGAGTAACCCAAGAGTTGGCGATGGGTGGTGATGACTAGCTGCCTTCCCTCTAGTCTTTCACTGCTAAATTAGGGACGGCTAGCGCAGATAGCCCTCGTGTAGCTTTGCGCGAAATTCCAAAACAAATAAATAAAGCCTTGCAGCGCACTCATGGACTCAAAGGGCAGAGCGTGTTTTTGCGTCAGCAAATCGCAAAACATGAACCATGCACGTTAACTACAATGACATGGGGCCCTTTGTTTTACAAACTACTGGGTGTGATGATAAAGATTTTGAAATCTTGAAAAAGAAATCTGCATTTTAAATGAAAAAACTACTTAAAAAGTTTGAAAACAGAAAGGACAGAATGCTTTACCTTGGAGTTGAGTGCTTTTTCTTGATTCAAATGTTTAAAAAAACAGCTTTTTACTGAGCCACAACTTAAATCGCGAGTATCAACAAGCCTTAATAGGTCAATTATAGAATTGGTTGAAAATTTATACATAACTAATGAGAGATGTGAGAGATCGCTTGTATGAGTTTATATTCTTACACGTCAACATTTTCAAGATGGTGAACAATAATGAGTGTGAATGTATATTTTTATCATAGTGATCCATATTAGATCTCTAATGACGCCCAGGCTTACTTTCTTTTCTAGTTTACGAAATAAAAAAATGCACTTTCCAATGAGTAAAAAGTCAACGTTTTTCGATACTTAATTTATTTGCTTGTTGGGTTATTGTTTTTGTTTTGAATGTGAATATTATAGTCATTATACGTTGGATTCTGTTGAAGAGGATAGAGCTGGTATTCTCTTGTCGAATTCTGATTCTAAAGGGAAGTAAAAAAGCCAAACAGAGATAGTTTTGGTCATGATGGGACGTGGAACAAACAAGGTATAGGCTGGAGCCACATTATCTTGAAAAGACTTGGAGTAAAGAAGATAGGAAGCTAGAGCCGCATGTTCATGATAAAACTTGAAGTAAACACGGTAAGAAACCGGGCTTATGGTCATGGTCTGGTACAGGTTAGTAGACTGGACCACATAGTCTTGGCAAGTCTTAGAATAAAAATCAAGTTACCCACAGATGATCTGTATTTCCAACACAATGTACAAATTAAGATAAATGTGGAAGAAGAACATTTGCAGTTAACGTGATTTTTATAGCAATTTCTAGGCCTATTGATTTCCAGTATTTCTTCGGCTTTCGGCGTTTAAGAAGTAACTTTTAAAGACTTAAAATAAACAGTAGCTGACTTATAGGATTTTATGAGATTTAAAAGAATAGGGTAAAAAACAAACAAACAGAGGCTTTATGTACTGAATGAGATGTGGACAGTCAAGATATGAGCCGATATTCGAAAGGTTACATGAGACTAAGAGTAGTACCTTGGATAAAGAAGACAAGACAATGGGGCTTACGAATCTTGTGGAAGTTGGAGTATTTGGCATAGAGTCCAGAGGAGTTATTTTAAGACTCAACCGTCAAGTAAACAGGTTAAGAGAATTGGGTAAGATAGTACTGTGTAATAGTTTTGGTTTGACTTGGAATAAACGAGTTAGGACATGCTCTTGGTAAGACTTGAAATAAGCAAAAAAAAAGTGGGAAATTGAGGTTTTATATGTTTGATGAAGTTTAAACTTAACAATTTGTGGAACCAAACAGTTATTTTCAGAAAAATATAGTTGAAAACAATAATGAAACAAAAATGTTGATTTTCTAATTCTGTTTTATGTGTTTCTTCTTATCCCTGGTTATCTAATGTGTCAGTGTAAGCCTTAACATTCACACCGTTAACTTACTAGTCTATTCATTAATCGAGAAGGAAATTAAGGTATATAATTTCTTTCCTAAATTAGCCAGTGACGATTTTCATTTCATATTCACGTACAAAACAGCAGCATTGAAAAATAAACTTTGATACAGTTTATCTTCTTTTGAGTAAAATAAAAGCACAATTCTTCATTTCAAATCGCATAACTTCTTGACTTACCTGCTTCACCACTGTCTATCCCAATGATATTTCGAATTCTTTCCACCACCACTTTAATTCTGCTGTTAAAGGGGCTACAGGATAGGCCTACTTGAATCTCTCCCAAAGAACTGTTATTCTTTGTTGTAAAAATATTTTACAATTAGCCCTTGTAAGTTATAATCATTTTATATCAATTAAGTAAAAAAAAAACAAACAACGAAATATCGTTCAATAAACATATAGTGATGCTACATTACTTTTAAAAATTTATTGCAAGTAATAAATAATGCTAGTATACCTGATGTGCTTTTCAGAAAATGTTGTAAAATTCAGAAAGTTGTATAATATTTTTGTGAACTATATTTTTTCTTATAATACAAGTTTTAAGATAGGTTAAGATAATTCAACATCTTACGTTATAAGTTCTATGTGAGCCTTTAGATCATCTTTCAATGTCAAAATGTAAACAAATTTCAACTTTGCTCAGCCCATTCTTTACCGAGTGTTCCCCTGGTACAATTATCAACTTACATCTTCCAAAGACCCGCCAGTAATGAGATGGTTTGAGCGTAAATAAGAAGATTCGGAACGAAACAAAATATTTAACCTGTTAAAAATTATATAAAATCTACAAAAAATAATATAAAGAAGAGAAATTTGCAATTGGGAGTAATGATCATTCAATTAATACTCAAATTACCTATTTTTTTATACACCGCTCAAAACCGGTAGGGTCCACATACTGCATCATCATGAGAAATAGCATATCTATGCCTGTTACAACACTCAGCATAAGTGGCTGACCAGAAAAAAAAATTCACTGAAATCACCCATTTTTCTATGTGAAATACGTATGAGATTCCAATAGGAATTATTGGTATTAGTTGCAATATTGATAGTATGTTACAGACTTCTATATTGTTAGAGGCCCCTGTAAGGGGCCCACAAGCAATTTGGTGCATACATAGTTTAGAAAAATGCATTTGAAGAACCATAGGGTCCTATGGAACCCGTCGTTGATAATAGGATTTAAGAGATATTAAAATAATAAATCACTAGCGCGTGTGTAAATCAACTAGGATTTTTAATCCCCTGTTGTTCCAGACATTTAAACGAACCATGAAAGATGCAGAGATTTTATAACATTTTTGCATTGCCTACTTGAGTAGTGGGCTCCAAATTTCTCCAGTTGACTATGTCATCATGAAAGTTGATCTTTCCTAATGGAACAAGAACGTGACCTAAAGAGTGACGAACTTTTCTTTTATCTACGTCATAAACAGCCAGTCTCAAGGTTCTATCGGCAACATCCTCCTTAGTTACCTGTAAAATAACAACAACAAAAAACGAGATATAAATTAAATGTTCAAAACAGAAACCATGTAAACGTAACGTTCATAAAAATATCTATACGAAGCTTTCCCCTGAAATATACTACAAATGTTTGCTATACTTCAAATTAAAATTAAGCTTTCGTTATAAGTTTTTGTTCTGCTACGCTTTTTAATGTTTATTAAATGAAAATGAATTAACGTTGGTTATTCTCTTACACACAAACAAGCTAAGGAACGCCTCTAATTTCCTAAAAAAAAAGGGGAGAAGGTGGAAAGAGAGATCGTGATTGAACTACGTTGGAAATGACATGTGCATATCCGCTTGAAAAAGAATTCACGTATAAATATTCAAATATCCCATACAGGTATAAGAGTAGGAAACCTTCAATTTAAGGCATTTGACCTTCTAATGTGCCCACCAGTGGCACAGCGGTATGTCTGCGGAAATTCAACGCTAGAAACCGTTTTTCGATACCTGTGATGGGCAGAGCACAGATAGCCCATTGTGTAGCTTTGTTAGAAAAAAACAACAACTTCAAACAAACAAATCTCCTAATGATAAACTTTTGTACTATTAAACAGCTTGAATAGTGTTCCCGCAATAAACATGGGCAGTTGATTACACTCAGAGGATAATCTAATGTGGAAGACTCGAAACAGGACAGAGTCAGAGACAAATTGGTCTCGACTTGGAGTGATGAATCTGATGTATAGATCGTTTCCAGACACGGGGAATATTTCTGCTAGATCTAGGACGGGTCGCTACTTGATTATAACAGTGATCTAGAACCGTACATATCCCCACTGGCCAAGGAAAATAGGAGGGTATCAACACCAGCTATTTCCAGATAGCTACATTTGGCCTGTATTTCGAATAATAAGCCAGTCTCATCGTTCATAGAGGAAAAAATGGTTTTAGGAACATCTCAGTTGGAGCAATAATAGATGAACCAATGTTCTGTTCACCATTAGATCAAGGTCTGGAGAATACGTCGTGAACGGTTCTTGGATTGCTGTATTCGGAAACGGTGAAACTTTGGAGGTGTGGAATATCGGTCTGGGCTGGCATCTTCATTATCGTTGTATATATCTAAGTATTGCAGAGTTGCTATATAAATGCTCTGAGGTATACTGACGACATCCTTGAAGATTATGTGCGTTCACATGCTGGTGTTCTTTGATATTATTTTATCCTAAATGGATGATAATATCAGATCAAATAGAACCAGGATTGTGGCGAATACCTTCTGTCAAATGAAATCGAAAGATTAGAGTAATCGGCATTTTCTCCAGACCTTAGTCCGGTTGAAAACGTTTGGAGCGTCCTGGGGAGATGTGTAACGGACTGAAATTACCAGATCTATTCCTTTCTCAGCTAGCAGTAGTTCTGTTTGAAGAGTTGTCACTAATTCTACAGAAATTGATCAACTACAACATGCTCAGCAGCTCGAGGTGGTCACATTCCTTAACAGTAGACTTTTTGGCGAACTTTTCCATATTGCACATTGTTTATCTTGATATAGTTTGTCCAACTTATGATTCTGTTTCAAGGTTGTTGTTTTTTTCATATGCATCGTTCACAAGTAAACTGTATATCTTAATTTGTAATATACCTGGATGTTTTGAAACCATAGGTTCCTTAACTTTTTTGTCCTCTGGTGGATCAGCGATAGGTTTAAGGACTTACAACGTTAAAATTCAGTGTTCGATTTCTTACGATAGCCAGAGCACAGATAGCCCATTGTTTAGCTTCGCGCTAAAAATAAGCTTTATTGATGTACGTATAAAGGTATCGACCAACTTAAATGTCTTTCAATTTAAATATTGTTTAGTGCTATAAGAACAAGCTAATGTGTTGGGTCTTGGAGCTTACACAAGCCCCCAGTGGCAGAGCGGGATGTCTACGGACTTACAACTCTACAAACCGGTTTTCGATACCTGTGGTGGGCAGAGCACAAATAGCCCTTGGTGTAACTTTGTGCTTAACTACAAACAAACAAGCTTACACAAGTATATTTTAAACTTATAGTTTGACCTGTAATCTAGCTTCAGTCCAACTTCTGAAAACAAAAAGCTACTCAATATGCTACACGTATTAGTTTGTGCTTACAATACGCATAAGAAATAGCATAAGTATTATTATATGACAGATTTGTGCATTTTTCTAGACCTTTTAAAACTGATAATGTTCGCAGTATTTTTTTATTTTATTCTGTATTAGTTTCATGGCTTAGAGAAATAGAAATTATATTGCATAGTCCATGTGATTTGTTTTTCACACACATATTCAGACCTAATTCTGAATCAAACAGATATTACCTTCAGTAACGTGAAGGAACTTCAGGTAATAAAGGCAAACGTTTCTTAATTCTAACAAATGTTTAACGCTATTTGCGTTTCTTACCGAAAACTTGAAGGTTTCATGAAACTTGGGATTTAGGGTCCGCCTGCGAACTTTCGATTGTTGACAGTTCTCCTCATCAGGTAGAAGGTAGAGCTTAACAAAAGGATCCCTGGGTGTCTGGTTTGGATTCCGTCCTAAAACAATGATAAAGTAAGAAAAAAAATTAAATTGTAATTAGCCTAACAACGCAATTTCATATTCCATGCTAGTTTCTACTCATTAATTAGTATTACTACGATTAAGAATTAATTTTCTTGCTTTAGGTCCTTATTTATGTGTTCGTAGCGCATGAGATGTTCCGTATTATCTCTAAATATGCTTAGACAGATAAGTAAGTAAATACTGTGCCTAGCATAGTTTTCCTTTACTATATATGTGCACATGTTCACAGACCAACTAAAACCATCACTGACTCAAAGAACTTTATTTTTGATACATGAAAGAAATCAAGTAAATCCTTTTACTCTGTACATTTGTTTGTGTATCTACGATTCGAGTTAGCGCCATATTTATATAGTAAATCAACTGCTTGCCATTGCTACTGTTGCTCGGCTCGTATTTCTAAGAAAGTGTGGGTGAAAGTAAAGAAGGATATGTACTAGTATGTCAGCTACACTACATCTGCCATATCCAGTACCGACGAGCCCTTTTACCCAATACCAGAGCTCATTAGGTCGGCTGGGATACGACATACACAATAGTGGTCTAGGCGGAATTTATATAAATAATTTTCATGACCAACGACTAATCCATAGCTTTTCACAATACATCAACTGTGACATCTAGATTATATCTTTAACGCACCTCTCTCTATCCACCTTCGTTTATTACTGTTTGAGTTTGATATAGACTTTTGTTTTTACGCCTATCTTAATACTCTTTTAATTTCGAATGTGTGTGTGTGTGTGTTACAGGCTGTCCAACCTTTTTAGTTATGTGTAAAACACCTCTATTTGGCTAATATTTTTGTTGATGTCATACGAAACATTAAAAACTCATTTTAGTAACAAAATCAAAACCGATATCAGTTGAGAAATGTTCTTGTCAAAACAGCAAAGCGGACAGTAAGATATGTCATGTCATCAAGTGTGTGTAACTTTGAATGTAAACTTTAATTTCTACATTTTCAACATGTTTCAGTAGTTCAGTGATTCCCAAAACAACGAGAGGAGATATCTCTCAGATGTGTTCTCCTGTTTGTATTTATTTTGTTAGTATTTCATTCTATCAATTCTCAATAATAATAATAATGTCGTAAGCGTCTTAATTTTATTAACTGTCTTAACAAAGTGATTAGCGTACCGAGCTGTGTATCGGGAAGCCGAAAGGTTGAAGTGAAATATGTTGCTAAGCATGTTCCACATTCAGACTGTCTTCATGGGCGACGAGTTGTTACTTATAGTTTTTTTTTCGTCTGGTCATCAGTTCCAAATTAGAAATGTCTATACGTGTTCCTTACAGGGTCTCTGACATGGCTATTCAACATATTTTCGTATAAGGTGCCGTTTAGGTTGAAGATACAAAATACTCCAGATAATGTCTTGTTTTCTATCAAAGCTAGTTGGTATTGTAATAGATAAATTTGCTAAGTTATAAATGTCACTTTCAACTCTTAACCGTTCTTCTTTTACTATACGCCCCCAAGTAGCACAGTGGTATGTCTGCGGACTTACAACGCTAGAAATCGGGTTTCGATACCCGTGGTGGGCAGAGTACAGATAGCCCATTGTGTAGCTTTGTGCATAAATTAAAAAACAAACAAACTCTTACTATACTGTGAGTTAGGTTTATTCTTTAGTATCTAAAGAGCTAAATCCGCTATTCTTATTTTTCTTATTGACAAGAGAGGCTCCTCCTGTAGATCAGCGGTACTTTTATGGAGTTAGAGCACTAAAATCCAGGATTCGATTCCTCACGGTTGAAAGAACGCAGAACTGTGTAGCTTTGCACAAAAACAACAACTTGGAAAGATATCCCAATCCTGCTCTCTAGCAGGTAAATATATTAATCTTAATTATTGTTAATATTTTTATTTATAAAAAAAGAGTGCGAAAGTTGTGTTTTCTAGTGAGTGATGGACTAAACATAACATTTAGGTACTTAATTTCAATTATTGTTAACCTTTTTTCCAATATTAGAAATGGAGTCTAGTTCTGCCCTCTACTGAGTAATATCTTTATCATAAAACATCTGTGCTTAGTCTTAAACATCCTTAATTTTCTTTTCGGCATTAAAATGAGAGCTCAGTTGTGGCCTTTGATGAGTAAGGAGCAAAACGTACCTGGTAAATTCTTCGCTTTAACGAGGGTCACTTCTAGTATTTGATCTTCTTCGTGGTAAAGTATAGAGAACCATATTCGACCGTTCGGAAAAGGAGATTCCACCAGCTCATCGTCTTGGATATTTCTACAGTAGATAAACGTAAAACGCTATCAAATTAACAAATTACGGTTCTTAAGTCGATATATTTTCATTCAGTAATCTTTAATCATGTGTACTTAAGATTCAACCATAACGTATAAGCTATAGACATTCATACTTCTAATTCTATCTGGCTAGGTGGCTAGGAAGCTCCACTCGTATAATGCGGGTTCGAATCCCCCATTCCACCAAACATACTCGCCCTTTCAGCCGTGGGGGCGTT